TATCGTTGTCAGTCAGGGATTGAGGCTCACAACAAAATTTAAATTAATTAATTGCAAACATAGGATAATGAGTTTCAAAATCGTATTAAATAAAGTAATTATTTTCATTATCCATACAACTAAGTTGGCATCACTACTATTTTCTCAGAAAATAATAAATTGTAATAGATAAAAGTTTATGATTTGAAAGTTCAATCAATATTATACCGAAAATAATTGATTACATTTCGTATTTAGATATCCCGAACAAAGAAGTCAATGCAAAGCAACGTACCTAATCAATTTTGTTAACATAACAACAGACAGATCAAAATACATGTTGTGATCTCATCTGCGTAAGCGTTTTGTGACACCTTTGTTTTAAATTCCAAAGTACACGTATATGGAAACGTTTGAGATTACATCGTATGATGGTACCTACTTTCAACAATACAATAAAATTATATCGTGAATATAATCATTTACACAGTTTAGGTAGTAACATTTCATTGTGATAATAGGTTTACATACATTATCAAGTATTCATTATTTAAGTTATTTATAATAGTCGAAAACACATTACTACTTTTTTATTTTATGACTTTTATGGAATATTTTTATCTTAATTGAGACAGAAATTTAAAATATACACTATTAAATACCTAAAGTTTGTTTAAACAAAATATTTATTAACATTAGAAGAGACAATTTTTTTTTTGAAGCAGATTACATAATTTTATGTTTCGTTGTCCATAATAAAAAAATACTATTGTTATGAAACTTAAAATAATAGAGTAGATACACTTTCGACTTTTTTTTTTTTTTTAGTAACTAATATACAAAATTTCGTTTAAAATTGTAAAAATTTTACATTAACCAAAAAAAACTAAGAGAAATTTAGGGTAAAGTTATTGAAAATATGAAAAAGTTTTGCAAATTCATATAAAATATATCTAAGCGAAAACGTATTTATCATTTTTTTTATTGTGGTTGTTTTTTTTTTTTGCTTTGGCGGGGATTCCATTTTGACCTCATTTTAATTGTTCTCATGTCCCTACATGTTAATTATTTTCATACTTGCACATCTCCATAGATAAGCACATCTCATTACATTCCTTTTTGATTGTCAGGCCTATTATTTTTTCATAATTGTTGTACGTACTTTATTTCTTTCTTATATTTTTGACCTTTAGCTAGCTTTATTTCTTTTAGTATTCTTTTTCCTTAAATATTTATTTATTTATTAGATATCGGGAATCGGAGTATTAATTTACTTCATTTACATTTTATTTCGTGATATTTATCACGCGGGTACTTTATAAATATGGGCCCCCCATTTACTTGGGTATTATATTACTTTTTCATAACATTCGTTTCATTTTATTGGTACATAATTTTTTTTATCATACTATATCAAGGTAAAACTGTACCTTAGGTTGTGCGCACAACCTTGAGGCCAACGTTTATGTCATTTTAAAAGGACTCCAACAATTGTCACGGAGGAAAACTAAGTTTACACTATGATCCAATGAAGGATGTGACCTCTATGTACCATTATCAAGGGTAACAAATTTAAGACTTCTCTGGTCCCCAACAGTACTAATATGAGTAAACTCGTTCACATCTCACTTGTACTGAAGGTATTGTTCCCTAGTACCCGTTACTTCCGATTTTATCATCCAATCATGGAAACATACCCTGCTCGAGGACCATATGCTTTACCAGTGATGGACGTTCCCGTATCTCTCCATGATTTATTTATCAAGGTCATCTTTTATTTTATTTTGATTCTCTTCGTAAATTTTTATTTCTTTCTTTATCTTTATAGTACCTGCTGTTATCTACTTGACTGTATCGGTAACTTTTATATACTTTCATACTCCATTTCCATTACTAACTTTCATAATTCTCGCTCATAATGGTTTCAATACCAGGATTTTAAGCATCATCAAATATTTGGGTGATCAGTCCAATATTGACGAAACTTAGCAACTCAATCATTCGTATCCACACATTTGAACATTCCTTCTCTCATTCCTCACGCCTTTTAAATATATAATTTTTAATATTGTACAAAAATGAGATAACTTTTTTTTGTCAACAACTTTTCATGTCCGTGTTTAACTTTGTTCAGAAACATTATTATTAAAACCTCTTTTAATGATTATTTTCCTTATCACATTAAAATGATACTTTTAAATATTTTCTAACTGACACAGAAGTTTATAATATAATTACATCGCATCGCTTATAGTTATATTACTTTTACTTATATCGAAAAATATATTAGCATTAGTTATACATTTAATTACATATAAAAATTTTGGATTTCTAGAAATTTAGGAAACCGTATAACCTACAGAAAATAATTGGTTATCACTATTACAGCTAAGTTTATATTAAACGAAACATTAATTTATTTCCAATTTTTGATTTTTAAGCAGGTCATATTAACTTTAAGTTCATTTATTAAAGGTTATGTATTTTTTTTATATAGTTATTTAAAGGTTTTCATGCCTTTAGAAAAGAAGAAAAATAATTATGACTTATAATAATAGCAACTTTTTTTTTATAAAACCCTTTTCAAAATTGTATACTTACATTTAAATAAAATTTATCACGGAAAAAAGTTTGGCTGAATTTAAAAAATGTATTTACTTTAATACGAATCTTGTCATTGTAAAATATAACTTAATATATTGTTTTTTTTTTAATACAATACCTACTAAAATATTATAAATATTATAAAATGTTAAATTCAAGTTACTTGTAAATACCGTACATTAAATATTTAATGCATTACTTATTTATTTAATATAAAACATAATAAAACATTATTAAAATCAAATGTTAAAAATTACGCTGAAGCGATGTTACCTCTTACATCTTCTTTTTCCTTTTCGGTTTAATTTTCATATTTTACTGGACAAAGCTCGCTAAAGTACAACTGCTCCTTTCCTTATTAAATTAATTTGCTGTTTCTTGAGTTTTGGTCTTTGGCCATTAATTAAGAAATCACTTTTTATTCTTATTATTATTTCTTAGTTGCCTTCATAGTTATGTTAAAGATAAATACATTATATACGTTATAGTTTTTAAATTTTCAGTCAATTATTATTGTGGCCTCTTCTTGTATTCATATTTATTAATTTTTCGTCACATCCGGTATTGCGTCCATTCCGTTATAATATTTCTTTTATCTGTCATTTCACTTTATTATTTAATTTAAATTTCTTATAATATTTTTATTTATCTTTTTTTTATGTCGTAGGCCCCGGCGGTGCGCATGCATTGTCGCAGCGCACCGCCTGGCAGGGTCGCCATGTGATGTCGGCAGGTGTTAATGAAAGAGAAGACGTGTTGCTGAGACTAATTCTTTAATTATACTGTTTAATAAACTTAAGAGAACATGTATTTCTTACACTACTAGTAGGGCTGAGGCACATACACTACAGGTGTCTAACAAGGCTCGTTTGGCTGTGCATGAGGGGGTGTTGGTTCTGACACTCATGTACGGAAGTGAAACTTGGGTATGGCAGAAGAAACATGAAAGCAGAATAAATGCAGTTGAGATGAGAGCATTAAGAAATATGATAGGAGTTAAACTGAGTGACAGGATAAGAAATAGTGAGATAAGGAAACGTTGTGCTCTGAAAGAAGATGTAGTGACAAAAATTGAGAAAGGTATGCTGAGATGGTTTGGCCATGTCGAGAGAACGATTGACGAAAAAAGTGTATAAGGCGAGTGTGAATGAAAGTGTTGGAAGGGGTAGACCTAGGCGGACATTTCTAGACCAAATCAGGGACGTCTTGAAAAAAGGCCAGGTCAAGAGTACCCTAAACCGAAGAGCATGTATGAAGGGAATAATGAAAGTGGACGAAGCGAAACAAGTATGTAAGGATCGTAGCAAGTGCAAAGAAGTGGTCTCTGCCTACCCCTACGGGAAAGAGGCGTGATTATATGTATATATGTATGTAGAGACACGCTTAGTTTTGAAGGCGTTTAATCACACGAGGCTGGGATCGCTCCAATCAGAGACTGCTTGCAGTGAGGAATTCGCATGCTCAGCAATAGCTTCTCTTTCGGACTGGATTTGATTCCGACTGACACGAGAATTTGGCTAGTATCTCTACGCAACTCTCTTCTATACACCCATAGATACCGAAAACAAATAGATCATTAATACGCAGCAGGAAGATAATTGTGGAGAGAACGAACCCCTTAGGAACTCCAGCGTTTGTCGCGTTAGGATTGGACAAGTAGCCATTGATGATGACTCGGAGAGATCGTTCACTCAGAAAGTCCTTCACCCAGTCAATTAGGCCAGGGGATAAGCCGTACGGCTGGAAGATTGCGCAAAAAGCTAGCCTTCCAAATCTATATAGGGGTACCAACAGAGTTTTTTAGAGTTTGTTGAATCAATGTACGACGCTGGAGAGTCGTGAGCCTCGCTTGTCCGTTCACAAAACCGAGGTTCCGCGATGCCCCACAAACGACCTTTTCTGACAAACAATCAAGACCGCGGTAAAGTTCGCCCGTCGATCAGGGCCCGTAGGTCACTGACGCCAGCGCCAAACGATTTTGTAACGCGAATGGCATGCCGTTCTCGTTAATTAGATTCATTAAAAACAACCATTTGATTAATAATATCGCTTTGAATTTTCAAACGTTAAACTTACTTATATGCACCGTTTCGTAATATACACGATACAGGTACAATACAGGAACAATATCAAGATACGGATACACTGCAAGACGAATTTGTATTTGTATACGAGGCACATCTTAATTCTGAATTTCTTCTGTAAACACATCATTTCTGTATACTAGTACCTTCATTGGGTTTAACCAATAATTCCAGTTTTTTCTATGTATATGCACAACATTATTTGCACCTACCTAAATTTTTGTCACATTTTATATTTTCAGTATTAAATCATGCTTAAGTTGAAGTTCTTGCAACATAAATGATATAAAAAAGCAAGTGATGCTTTTGACTTATAAATACTATTTATTACAGGATTTGGTGAAGGGTAATTTGATATATCTGCCACATTTCTTCGCGATTCCATTCGTAAATGGAATGGTACACGTGTATACTCGAACTTCTTTGCCAAGGCCGGAATATCACGTTCTGTGGAAAGTTGCCCGTGGAGCCTTGTTGTTTCAACGCAGCTCCAACGATTTTGGCGGAGCCCTATCAATTACACCATGGTTGAAGGATGTTATGCCGAAATACAGTGGATTCAAAGACTTATTGAACGGAAATCACGTTTTATTGGACTTCTTTAAGGTAAGGTTAAAAAAATACAAAACGCGATTCTAATTTGTTAAAATATCATTCAAATTTGCAACGCATAAACTGAATATAGAAACGCAGAAGTCGAATTATTGAAATTTAATAGCGGCTGAAAAGTCAAATTGCCAAATTTAGATCCGGTTTTCAATAAATGTAGTTTCAAATTAACTAAAATAATATTAATATGGATATTTTATCGTAATTGCGAGGTGAGGATGAGGTGACGCCAGTGATTAAAACATAACAGAATAAAATTATCTCGATAGGAAAAAAATTACAAAGTTATCTCTTATATTCATTGAGAACCGATTGTTTCTGGTCGTGGTTTATATTATAAAGCAAAAAATGTAATAATTGCCATCACTTCATATTATCTAGCGCTGTATTTAGGGATTTTTAAGAATTAATAACTTTTTTCAAGTTATTGAATAAAATGCATTTGGCGCTTACTGTGTCTTTAGCCCCGTATAGTGGCAGGTAAGAACCCATTAACCTCTATCTTCCCGTGGGTGTTGTTAGAGGCGACAGAGGTAAACTCAGGCAGGAGATGGGCAGCAACATTTTTCTGACAACAGCAAAATAACAATAAAGAACTGCGGTCGGCAACCAGCTTGGCAAGCGTGCCGTCTATGGCAATATACCCCCCATGGCGAGAGATATAAAGAGACGATCCCTAGTCCCCGGCAGCCTCCCTATTCCTGGCTACGGTGGCGACCATGGTAACCGCAGGGCAAGGGTATTAAGAATCTCCGGTAGAGGTTCGGTTGCCATCTAAGACTACTCGACCTGGCGACATATAACGCACGCACCCTAAGTACCGACGAGAGGTCCAGTTGCGCTGGGATATTATAGGATTGTCTGAAGTCCGAAGAGAGGGGGAGGACACGGTAATCCTCGAATTCGGCAACTTGTAGGGCGTAACGACTGGAAGGTCCAAGACATTCTCGGAACAAATTTTGTTGTGAGATATGTATTTTGTTCGTGGATGAATCGAAGTGTGAGAGAGAACCGTTATTATTTGAAAAAAATAATATAGACTGACGAAGCAAAATTCATAAGAGCTGGCATTACAAATCACAAAAACGATCATCTTTTTTGCTTGGTAAACCCACAAGCATTGCGGCGAAGATCGTTTCAAGACGAACTGTTGGTGAAAGTGTGGGCAGGTATCAACGATTGTTTGATAGGGCCATTAGAATTGCCCCTACATTATACGGAGCTACATTTCTGCAGTTCCTAGAGACAGATTGCTAGTAGCCTCGTAGAGCTACCTTTGTCGTACCGTCAACGTATGTGGGTCCAGCTTGATGGTGCACCTGCGCACTTCTCTCGAGCAGTGAGAAAGTATTTAAATAACAACCATTCACTAAGGATCGGTCGCGGTAGAATGGCAGTAGCGTGGCCACCTCGTTCATTCGATTTGATACCCTCGGATTATTTTTTGTAGGGTCATATGAAGCAAAGGGTGTACGCCACAGTTCCAACAAACACCAGGTAAGAACTCATCACGAAAATAATGTCAATAGCCGAAGAATTAAGATCTGATTTATAAATAATTAGGCACACTTTACGCAAATGGCACATAGAGCTTTAGCTGCCTACAATCTGGCGGTGGCCACTTTGAATAACTGCTTTAGGTATTTTAAATGTAGGTCAATTTTGTAAAATAATTAAGTAAAAACTAATAAGAAAGTTAAGTGTTTTTAATGTTTTATTGTTTAAGGTTTCGACAAAATCACTTTGTGCTTGCATATACGCTATGTTCAAATAACCATAATTCGTAAAGCACATTAAGTTTATAGCATACAGCTATTATTATATACCATATTACAGGTTAACTCAAAATCTAGTAAAAAAATAAAAAAGGTAATCGGGGTTATTTTTCAGGATTTTACAATAATTTTCCGAAAATATTTTTTTTAAATTTACGAGTATGTGAAACCATTTTTAGGGTTCCGTGCCTCAAAAGGGAAAAACGGAACTCTTATAGGATCACTTGATTGTCCGTCTGTCTGTCTGTCTGTCTGTCAAGACCCTTTTTCTCAGGAACGTGTGGAGGTATCAAGCTCAAATTTATATCAAATACTCATGTCTACTGTCCCTTAGAGCTGTGAAAAAATCAAACTTCTAAGCCAACGCAATCAGAAGATACAGCCGTTTATGCCGCAAATTTGCGATATTCTCAAGGGAATCAAAACCTACAGGGTACTTCCCGTGAACTAAGAATCTTAAAATTTGGTACGAAGCAACGTATTATAGCACAGATAGAGGAAAAATTGCGAAAAGCATAAATTTTTAGTTACATCATATAATAAAAATATTTTTAATAATTTTAAACGTATATACCTACGGATTTGTTCGGAACCCTCGGTGCGCGAGTCCGACTCGCACTTGGCCGGTTTTTTTTTCTTAATGTAAACAATAGACAATATTGTTGCCTTACAAATGAGCCTATTTTAATCTCAGTAAGATCAAAACTTTGAGAGATATAATTTTTTTATACACAGCGAATATCCCAAGAAAAAAAAAATTGTCACATAGATGAGAAGAGGATTAGACCTCAGAATATCGCTAGTCCGTGACCAGACATACAGTATTTTCATTTCATTTCATTTACCAAATTGTTTTGTCGAATTTAGAAAATAGTGGAGGAGGCAATAGAAACACACAATGAGGCATATGATCGTCATTTCCTTGATGTGTACATTAGAAAAATGAAGGAGGAAATAAAACAAGCGGAACGTTCGACGTATTCAGGTAATTTACACTAATTTAGTCAAGTTTTTATGAAAACAGTATTTGCATGAGCAGTAGACCGGCACTGCAAGTATATAATGAAATAAATTAATTAAAAGATTATCATGTAATTAGCAATCATCTATCAAAAAAGGGATAAATTTCTAAGTTTGGTTACGACTAAAATCATTCTCAGACTTAGGGTTTCGTCAACAAGTTTACCTTTTTATCATGGAGCAGTGGCGCCACTGCATTTTTCAATATATAAGCTTGCGGAGATGGAACTGAGGTCACCCGCGATTTGTTATTTAAACAATATTATAATGGATTACTTAGAGATTTACCTTAATATCCGTATGCTATATATCACAGTTGTTTTCTCGGCAACTAAAATGGGAAGAACTTTTTTATTATCATTGGGTTAATTAAAAGCTGGTTCAAGCATAATTTCAATCATTTTAAAAATTGCTAAGGTAAATGTACTTAAAATATACAATTAGAAATTTAGATGAAAAAAAATTATTTGAAATATTAATGAACATTGGTACGCCCAAAAACTTTGATTTTTGGCGCAATCAGTCGTAGCCACAATCATTAAAAGTGATCCATACGGACGGGGATAACAATATGATGTTTTCCCACTCTAAAACTACGTTTTTTAAAATGTTTGTTTTTATTTATAGTTGAACAACTGATTCTCGTTTGTACGGACTACATGTTCCCGGCGGCTTCAGCAGTGGAGTCAGTGCTAACGATGCTCATTGAGAGATTATTGCTGCAACCTGAGCTGCAGGATAAAATACACGAGGAGATCGACCGCGTCGTAGGACGCGACCGACTTCCCACGCTTGATGATCGCAGAAAGTAAGGATGCGTTTTTCTTCTTTTTTTATTAGAATCTTTAGAAAATTTAGTATTGCATTCGTCGGAAACAACGTCGGACAATGGATATTTTATTGAAATTTCCAATTCATTCAGAAGGTAGCCTTCGTTAACATCATAATTAACGAAGGCTGCTTTTAACATTTAATTATTAATTTTTGGTCCGATTTACGCAACCCGAGCTCACAGTATCTTGAAGTTTTGCAGTAGTATGCTTGGATTTGGATTTAATTTTATTAATTATGTAATCTGAAGCAGATGGTAGCACCTAGCCATCTTCTCTATTGAAATTCGTTTATTTTTTGATTGCAATAGCCTCGCGAATCAACATTGGTAGGAATCGGTGTTCTTTTCCGAGGATTTGTGGTCTATAAAATCTGATATAATGGTTGAGACGATCCTAAACATATTGACATAGCCCTGATACCAGCCTGGCCCCTTATAGCAGCTTTTTCGCTTTTTTACTTTATAAATGAGGTTTCTAGTGGTTTTAACTTTAAACATTATCAACTGAACAGTCATTCGTCTTACGAGGAAAGTATATTTTAATTATTTCCACACAGTTATAATCTATTGGTTTTAATTTTAAATCTAAACATGCTAGCAACGTTCAACGTTAATTTTCCTAATTTTGGGCTTATTTTATATTATCTCATCCTTAGGTTTTGTGATTTGCATGAATTTCTCTAAGGCACGTAATAATCTCTAAACGTAATAGCATATTTTAATAAATTAACAACTCTTATAATGGGAATTATTGAGGCTGTAATTAAATATGAGATATTGAGAGCATAACGTCAGCCGTCAGACTGTTATTTGTTATGAGGTACCAAGTAAGAAATAGCTGATTTCAGCCCGTAATATAAATCAGGGTTGTCATAATTTATCTGGAATAAATATAATTAATTAGGACAAAGGCTCCAAAATCTTTGCCAGAGATTTGTCTGCCAGAAAGAGCCAACTGTCAAATCTGAAGACGGAGTGTGGCAGCATCGTTTCCGGGACACCTGAGATTTTGAGTGAGATTGAGAGGTTCTATGGACAGCTGTACACTTTATCGTTGGAGCCACACGCAAGTGTGAGTAACGATTCAAGAGCGAGTCTTATCCGACACTATTCCGAAAATATCCCAGACGTCAGTCTGAGCAAGATTAGAATGGCTCTCCAAAACCTTAAAAACAGCAAGTCCCCGGGCGAGGATGGAATTACAGCGGAGATTTTGAAAGCGAGTGGAAAACCGGTACTTGAAGTCCTTCAGAAGCTCTTTAATTCCGTCCTCCATGGTGGCACTACTCCAGAGACGTGGAGCAGAAGTGCGGTGGTCTTGTTCTTCCAGAAAGGCGACGATGCTCTCTTGAAGAACTACAGACCGATTTCCCTTCTGAGCCGCGTCTACATGCTGTTTTCGAGAGTCATTACGAATCGTCTCGCACGCAGACTTGACGACTTCCAGCCTCCCGAACAAACCGGTTTCCGAAAAAGCTTTAGTACCATAGACCACATACATACCCTGCGGCAGATTATACAGAAGACAGAGGAGTATAATCTGCCATTTTACCTTGCGTAGGTGGACTATGAGAAAGCCTTTGATTCCGTCGAAATTTGGGCGGTGCTGCAGTCCCTTCAACGGTGCCAAGTTGACTGTCGGTATATCGAAGTGCTGAAGTATTTGTACAATAGAGCTACGATGGCTATCCGAGTACAGAATCAGAGTACGAATACCTATCCAACTGCAGAAAGGTGTAAGACAGGGTGACGTTATATCCCCGAAACTCTTCACCGCTGCATTGGAAGACGTTTTCTATCTACTGGACTGGAAAGGATGCCGTATTAACATCAATGGCGAGTACATCACTCACCTTCGATTTGCCGACGATATAGCCCTTATGGCAGAATCGCTGGAGGACCTAAGAACTATGCTCAATGACCTCAATAGTGTCTCCAACGGATAGGTCTTAAGATGAACATGGACAAAACAAAAATCATGTTTAACGTCCAAGTCACACCTATGCCGTTAGCTGTTGGGAGCATCATTATTATGCTGAATTTAATATTAAAACAAAATTATTTTTGGTTTTTATTTAAAACTAATGATGTTAAGAAAACCGTGGGTCTATAAGGAATTTCCGTTAACGTTGTTACGTACATAATAGATGTAATAGCACCTTATCTATCTAATCTTTTTAACCACACCTATGCCGGTAGTTATTGGGAGCACTAAGCTTAAAGTTGTTGATGAATATGTTTACCTGGGACAAATAGTCCGACTAGGTAAGTCCAACTTCGACCGAGAGGTCAATCGACGGATTCAACTCGGCTGGGCAGCGTTCGGGAAACTACGACACATCTTCTCGTTAGACATACCTCAAAACCTGAAAACGAAATTGTAGAAAGGAATTGAAGAAAGGTTCTCGAGTGGCAGCCTCGTACCGGTAGGCGAAGTATAAGGCGACCCCCCCCCCCCCCACTAGATGGAGTGACGACCTGGTGAGACATGCAGGAAGTCGATGGAAGCACGTGGCTCAGGACCGTGCTTTGTGGCATTCCTTGGGGGAGGCCTATGTTCAGCAGTGGACTTGTGAAGGGCTGTAATGATGATGATGATGATGAAAAACAAAAGTAGTAAACCAAAGAGATTTAAATATATAGGTAAGTAAAACATAAAACAAAATAATTATTATTTCATATTGCATGCTAATGACACGCGTGATTCAAAATAAGTCCTTATCATATCTATATTAAATCACGCGTGACGGCATGGATCACTTTTACCTATAATAGAATTTTCACAAGCGCTATGAAATAAAAATTGATATTTTTTGGCAAATATACACACCTCTAAAATATGCAATCTAGTCAGCGCTAGCAAATTATTATTTTTAAATAAAAGTCTACATGTTTCCAGGGGCCAAACATTACATAGAACTCGTGTACATTTCATTTCACTGATAAAAGCTTTGTTCATATCAGTTCAGTTTCCATGGAGAAACATCCATGGCTTCCGTGTTGAGGTATGGTCTGTTAGTATGGACCAACAGACCATACCTATGCAGTTAGCGCAGCCTCTTTCCCAGCGACGCACTGTAACCTACGTAAAAAATTAAAATAAGTGTCCTAATGAATGATCTTCATTCCAGTTTTTGACAACAATGATTTCCATTACGTGTCTGAAATTATGTACTTATTATTAGGTAAGTACGTCCAATCAAATAATAACTTTGCGGCTGATATTATGCACTCCATACATTTCGTATATCTGATTACAGCTACATAAATATCCACTAAAAGAAAATGAAAAACTTTAAAGAAACATAAAAACATTACTTAGTCTATACTTTTGTTTAGGTCATTCTACCGAACGTTATAATTTTTTGTAAAAAAACTGCATTTTTCGTATTTTTTCAATTTAAGTTGTTATGATCTAATATGAATGAGATTCAAACGGAAATCAAGAGGTCGCTAACCAATAAAGAGGTAAAAAACATCAAAATTGATAAATAAACCATCAAAATGGCTGATAACATAAATGATGCAAATATTGACGGAAATGATGAATTCTTATCTTTTTAAAGTAAAAACAATTCTTATGTTATCATGTGCACTTCTGAGTGAATTATTAGTACACTTAAAACCAACATTAAATCGTATTCATAGTTATAATCAAAAGACAAACAAAAAATAAAATTCTAATAATCACAGACATTATGAGAAATTTCTGTAAATATTTTTAGTAGGCATAGGTAGGCACAACAATAAAATTAACAAATAGGTGTAATGGACGATAAATTTCTAAATATTTCTTCATCATCTAATAAGCTGAAAAAATTTTGGAAGACGAAGGGTGAGTTGTCTTTCGATGTCAAAAAAAATACCTGATGGGAACTGACTGACTGAGGTATTTTTTTGACTTAGGAATCTAGCCGTTATAAATCTCATATAAGAAGCTTTTTATGTACTGTTATGTTTTTGGTTCTATTTTACAAAATCGATGATTTATTATGTGGCGACTGAACAGAGCGTTTTAGTTGGGGATTTTCTGGAGAATTAACCGCCGATAGTCTCAAAAGTAATAGCCATGAAAATCTTTGAAAAAGCAGCAATTAAATCTAAAGAACTAACATAGCACCTACATTTGCAGCAAAAAGAAGTAGTGGTTTACTGGTTTAGGCATTATAGTTTTAAGTGTCAGGAATCAAGATCATACATAGGCTTAAGATGAAAATAAGATACATATTATAAACCGGCCGTTTCTGTTTGTCTTGCCTTATCTTTACTTTTAACTATAATGTAAGTTCAAAACCATCTGAAAAGATTAGATTTATTTATTTATTTATTACATTTACATGTGGTTTTGTGTGACACATTGCATCACATGCACCCAGCAAGTAAAGGAGAACGGCAGGCTTGTATGGGAATTCCGAACAGCTAAAAAAATTTCGTGTTTTGGGATATTTTTGGTTTTAATTAGCAGTTAGTGGGATAGACAAGCCCTATTTAAATTCTTAGATTTTTAAAACTTGGGACGTAAAAGTTATTAACCAGTTTTATTTTTTAAGGTTATGTACTAGTGTACCAATGTAGATTGTTATATATTTTATGTATTTAAACATTATTTGGGTGATAAAGTAAATGTCCTAGATTGCTTGCCTCGTAGGTAGATTGAGATGAAGATCGTACCTATTCAGCGGGATGCATTAGGAGAATGCAGCAGCGGACTGCAACAGTCTGATTATGAGGAAGTTCTGATGGGTTTTAAGTGTAGGTAAATAAAAAAATACTTTGTTTTTGTGAGTACATTTATTTTATTGTACTTATAATTACCCTGCCCCTGCCCCCTTCTTGAAGTAATATTTAAATTATTCAAATTTTAATATTACTTCAAGAAGGGGGCAGGTCGGGTAATACCCTCATGGCAAGCATAGCTTAAGTACCAAATAATGCTCATCACATAAGAGCAGCATCCCACTGTTTTTAAACATACA